AAATATCACTTGTTAAGATTCATTCTTTAATATTGCATCTGAAGTTTGAGTCGAGCGACTCCAATCAAAATACTTGCATGACTTGATGAATTTGGGTTTAATCCCATAAATTGTAAAATAGTTTTTTTGCTGCCCGTGTGTCTGAACAGAATTGTATTATATTCATGCCTCAGTGCCACAAATAGATTTCAAATTATCAGAGTGTGAAGCAGTTCAGACTGCTCCTAATTACTGTCTCCTCAATCTCCTTTTCTCTCAATTTGCCAGAGAGAGACATAGTCTTGCTGTGATAGATGTATAAAGTTTTTCTATAATGTACTAACATCCTCAAACCTGCCCGACCCACCGGTGGATTCATTATTACAAACTTACGCTGTGCAGCTGAGCATCGTTCAAACCAGCAGAACCTTTTTTTTTTTAAATTCTAGTTAAGTACCCAAACTTAAAAGATACTAATTATATCAAGCTAGAATTATGTATAAAATGATTATTTGATTTGATGCAGTGGTGTCAAAATATGGTTTAGTGTATAATAAGTCAGAAAACTTTTCACCTCTCTTGTATTTATGCAATGTCTTGTGAAGTTTGTTTCCAATTCAAGAGGTAAATGAGGGAAATGCAAGATTAAGGGGTTACATGATTATTTTTTTTTTTTATTTTTCATTTTCTCTTTTGCAACTGGTAACACAACAGAAAGACATGACAAGAATGTCTTTCAGACCTAAAACAATAATAATGAAATAGTGAAACATCAGTGCTGATCAAAGCTTTTTCTGACACGTTAATGAACGTTCTGTATGACAGGAACCCACCATCAGTAAACATCACCTGGTGTGATTTTACATTGTTCAGTGTAAAAGGGTCTTTTAAAACTAGTTTGTGCTGAGGCTGGTCAAAATCTCTCTCTAAGGGGCGGAGATCTGCTCAGCAATAAGCAGCAGGGCTGGAGTGAAAATGTGCACATCTCTGCATCTTGTGAAACAGCTGGTTGTGCTGTTTTTTAATAAGGATTAATAGACTTACATCAAAGAAAGAGGCTACTGACCAATGAATGCATGAGAGGTTTGTGAAAAAGTCAGCAAGAGTAGCAGTAATGGCGGTGGCTTTGTTAAACAAGATGTGTATAGTGGTGATAGGAGTTATTTAAAGACTTGATTTGGTGTTCAGAATCATTGTCGTGGACCCCTGTGACAAAGTCTAAAGTACTTCTGAAGTGTTCTGGGTCAAATAAACCCAAGATAACCTCAGTGACATCCACACACACTCGTCAGCGCGGTAACATTCACATCGGGTGGCCGGTGATTGGTTCTGCCTGTCAGACAGTCCTGCAGATTTATGACAGCAGTCTCTGATGGCCTCCCGAGCTGTTCATTAGGCATCTGAACAAAGTCTGAACAAAGTCTCTGGATGAGTGTTCTCACTGATTGCGGCAACACCACATCTATGTGTTAGACACTGATGTTGATCAAATTGGTCATTTTTTATTTACATAGCCCAAAACCTGGGCTTTACAGTCTGTACGTGTATTCTTAGACCCATGTTCTGATAAGGGAAAACTCCTACCAAAAAGCCCTTTAATAGGGAAAAAAAAGGAAGAACTTCAGAAAGAGCAACAGCTGTGTAATGTTGTACAGCATAACTTGTAAGTTATGTTGCTACGTTCACACTGCAAGCCTTAAGCTTTTCTGGTGTTTAATTTGCACGTCAATATATTTTTTTTAAACTGTTGTTTTTGTTGTGAATAGTTTGACACAGAATACAATTACTCAGCAAGAAAGTGAAGTAACTTTTTTCCAAATCGAGGTCGTTTTTTCTGAGCTTTCATAGCGAATAGGGGCATCAACCAATCACATTGTACAGAACAGACGTCACGTCACAACTCATGGTGGGCCTGTTGATTGTTTGTTTCTCATCACCCTGTATTACATGGAAAAGGATACCAAAATTAAAAAGACAATGTAACAACAGTGAGATGGGATGGCAATTGTTCCCTCTGCACAGACTGCTATGTGGGATTTACTGACAGGGAACTGAAGCTGTTATATCCATCTGTGCTCTCTTCAAAGCCCACAGAAACTAATTGGCTGGCCTGCTTGGTCCGCGGTAAATGTGTGTGGATTGAATTTTTTATTTTGATATTTGCAAATTGTGACATATGCAACAAATTGTTTTGCGACATTCACAGGTAAGTACTTTGAGTATTTATATATAAGGGTGTAGGAGAAACTGGGGTGGCCAAGATATGTCTATGCGAGAAAAAGAAATGCGCACAACCCTATTTGGAGCCAGTGTTCAGTTTTGTCAGTTCTAGGCTACTGTAGAATATGGTAGTTCAACATGGCGGCCTCCATGAAAGGCGACCTGCAGCGCCTGTAGATAAAAACAGCTC